TGCAGTTATATTTTATTGCAATTACCATACCAAATACAATATTGCTGAAGCAATCTTTATTATATCCCAGTTTATGCATCTTTCAGGTTATCTATCTCAGAATTATGCACGGCTAAATCCACTCTGCCAAGATTCAATCATATGATTTTAGGGAATATTAAGTATTTTAATCCTACTTCTCAAAAACTTTTTCCCACTGTCATTTCAAGTATGATTTATTAATTTCAAAATGGCATTTTTAACATTGCTTCTACAAAAGGCTTTTTTAAACACATTTTAGTGCGCTGAGGAGAGTCTGTGTATGTCAAAATCTGGCTTACCTCCATAGATTCCTGAACATTATGGCATTCACGCAGGACAAGAGGCATGCTTAAATGAGATCTTTATTCCTTGTCAGTCCATAGGAATGGAATATTGCTGAACAAATCTTAGACACAATTCATTGTCAATTCATGAGCACAGAGACATTTCTAAGTGCATCTTTGACAAAAGGCAAACCTTGCTGTGAAGATGTTGTACAGAGCTTTGAAAGAATACAAAGTAGTGGGTTTTTCAGAGCTATTAAGATCTATTCTATTAATCTGATTTAGGAAGCTACAGCAGAGCACAATGATTAAATCTGAAATAGTACATGGGCGATTTTTATTTTATATATTCAGGGTCTTGTCTACATACTCCAAGAACATGTACAATTAGGTAATTACCTGTGTTTCAAAAAGAATATAAAATAATTGGAAATTGGACTGTCCCTTTTTGATAGTCAATTCATTTATCAAAGACTAATAATATCCTCTGTACTATGAGTATTTATATGCCTGCCAAGCACCTTGTCTTCCTGCCTCAAGAACCTGTGATGAGATCCAGACCTTGCAATATGTCCTGAATGTCATCAGACTCTAGTTCCTCAGAGAAAGTGAGGAAGGTGAGAATTAGGGATCTTAGATATTGATTAATTAATAATTAATAATTAATAATTGGGTAACTGCATCAAATATTAGTGGTTACACAATTATTCGATGGTGCCTGGAGGCGGGGCCGGCAGCTAGCATGCTCCTGGCTCCACTCCCGCAGAGCTCCCTGCCACCACAAGCTACTGCCTCTGGTCCCCCTCCCACCAGATCCACTTCCAAAACACAAAACTCAGTCTGATTCTGAATATATACAGAATAGGTTGATAGCTCATCAGGTCAAATATTTAACATCATCACTGGAAATAAACAACTTGATTTAATGACACTGTTCACAACTTGAAGCAGTTCTACCAACTGGAACCTGAAAATGCTGTAGTGAAAACAAATCATTTTTTACTTCACATCCTGCAGAGTTACAGTATGAGATTGCAGAAGTGCTGTCACAGTCAGAATTGGAACATATCTTCCAGCAGCGGGGGCTGACAGACTTGCTGGGCCCCTGGACATGGTGGCAGTGTTGGGTCTGGCTCAGTGTTCCTGGAAGAGGCAGAGCCTCGGGCAGAAGGGGTGAGGCTGGAGCAGCCCACCCTCAGACACGCCCAGAGTGCTCTGGCAGCAATTTAAAGGGTCTGGGGGGCTCCAGTCACCATTGCTGTTGCAGTAGTGGTAGCAACTGGGAGCCCCAGACCCTTTTGACTTGCCAGTCCCTGCGGGAGTTGCCCCCTTTAACTCTCCCTACTCTCATTGATGGGCCTGTTTCCATTATTTAAGACTTCTTTTCTAGTGCTTCATCTGCTGCAGGCCCTCAGAGTACCAGAATGACTGTGAGCTAGATGAGGATGTTTAGAAACCACATTATTGATTGCTGGGAACATAAAAGAAGGCTGTCTTATATCAATGACAGGCGAGTCAATCAGTTGATCAGTATTCCTCCCTAAGCTCATTTGAAACTGCACTGGTTGCATCAGTCAGCGTGAGGTCATGGAAAAATACACCCTAGCCTTTTCAGATGACAAGGCTCTAAACTACATTATGGGCGAAATGACCCACACAATTTAACTGTAACAAAAGCCATTTTTAGAGCACGAGGCAGCCTGCAAAAGTTAAAAAAAAAGAGTAAAGAGTAAAAAAAAACTATATATATATAGTTTGCTGAATATTAAAAGAGATTGATTTTGTACATCTTGGCCAAAATTATTTTAAAATGATGAGTGACTTTGAATATCTTAATTTTCAGGCATCCAAGATGAGACATCTTAAATGGGCCTGATTTTCAGAAAGCTGATGTTCAGCACTTTTTGGAAAAGCAGGCCTCCTTAAGACATTACAGACCAGGTATTCAAAATACTGAGGCGCTTAGAATCACTGGCCCCACTGGAAAATCTTGGGCTTGGTTCACATCTTGAAAAGAAACAAAAATTTCTCTTGCATCAAAAACCGGTATACCAATTTTCAGTCCAAAGCAACCTTGTATGGATGAAGGCCACTTAATTTATGCACTCAAGTTTGAATATTTTGCTCCATGTGTACGAGTGATTCAGAAATTCAGAACAGAATTTTTATGTAGATTCAGTTTTGACATTAATGCTCACATAAAAGAGTATTAGCATATGTCATTATTATTCAAAATCTGCTCTTGTTTGCTATCAGGTAAGGTAGTCATATATATATATATATATTTCAAAATGATTATCTCAAATTAGAATGCTGGTCTTGCTCTGAAGGTTGAATTGGTTATCAAAAATATATTATTTATTAAAACAAGAACATTCATCATTATGTTAACATACCATATCTTAAAAATATTTAAAACATTAAATGACCACCAATGAAAACACACAAAGATATTTCACACCTCGCTATAAGCATGTATTCATATGTGCCTATCTATGGTGAAATATGCATTAAGCATTAAACATTTGGTTTCTGTTTTGCTGATCTGAAGCCTGTCCAAACACATCTCATGATGTTAGCTTAACTGTTCTCCTTAGCTGAGAAGTAAATACCTCAACTGAAAAACAAAAATCTGAGCACAGAACCCATGGATAGTTCCTAAAGCTTTCTAGATCTGTTAGCATACTGTAATATGTTTTAAAACTCTGAGATTATTTAAACACTTCAATATTTTGTCTAGCTAGAATTCCACTTCAGAATTACTGGTTTTACAAACTACTAAAAACTATTTGTATTGCCAAAATATGCACCTTATTTTTAAATTTGTGTTTATCGTTATGGCATTCTACCATTAACAAGGTATTTCACAGAATGATTATTCATGTATTACCCACCCAAATTTAAGGCTTTCTAGATTTACAAAACTCTTCATCCATTAAAAAGTGAAGAAAAACCATCTATTTAACAGCGATAGAAATGTTGCCATGTTAGTCCTGTATTTTGTTTCAGCTACACCAGACTATGTAGCACTTATTTGTCCTTTTCATATGTGTTCCTTTTTTAAATTGTATCCTTTGGTATATATGGTTGTGACTATTTTCTTCCACTATTTGATCTGAGGAAGTGGGTCTGGCCCACGAAAGCTCATCATCTAATAAACCATCTTGTTAGTCTTTAAAGTGCTACATAGTCCTGTATTTTGGTTCATCTACTTAACAGGAACTGTTAACAGAAAAACTGATGCTTAGGCAGACACTAGAGCTGTTCAGAGAAAGATCATTCAGTTTTGTAGACGATAATATTTTGGAATGAGAAGCCAAAATTTTGAAATTCTTTATAAAAAGATAATATAGATTGCTGGCTCTTAGTCTGACTGCTAGGATGCTCTGAGGGCTCATCTAGACTACGCTAAAGTGTCGAAAGAGAATATGCAAATTCCATGTGAATTTGCATATCTTCTTCCAATCTCACTTTTGAAAGCAGAGCTTTCGAAAGTGAAAGTAGTTAGGATGCGGCTTTTTTCAGCAACCCTCCCCCTTTTTTGAAAAGCCGTTCTTCATCAAAAAATGAGGTTTACGCGGATTTTCGAAAGTGAGATTGGAAGAAGATATGCAAATTCCATGGAATTTGCATATCCCTTTTTGACACTTTAGCATAGACTAGATGAGCCCTGAGACAGCGCACTTTGGAAATTCTGGCGTCCCTAGTTGTGGTACGTCCACTTAGTGGGGTGTTCCCGAGCCACAAACTTGTCTGAGTCCCACTCTTGTCAGAATTTTAGTGAAACCAATCTGTCTCCAAGGAACATTTTGATTTTGCCAAATCTGACAAAACACTATTTTGTTGGAATTCCTCCAATTACCATGATCAGACAACTTCATACAAGAATACCTTGATAAATATTTTGGTACTTTCAATGATCTATGTGCACCTTCAATCTTATAAACTTCTGAAAATCCCCGATTTAGATTTTATTTCAGTTAAAATAAAATGTACTACAAACCCCACAGAAATAATTCCAGTATGGCTATTGAAAATTCACCCCCAAAATTTAGAGTCTGTTTTCCAATCATTACCAAGGATCACTGTCACTAGATACTTTAGGAACAGTCTTGGGTTCTCTGGTAACTAGAACTTTGATTTTTCTCCTTCTGTTTCAACTAGAAAATTGTAATCGTGCATGTTAGCTGTAGATTTAGCTAGTTATACAAAGTGGAATTCTTCAATGTGCTCTTCTTCAAGATCCCAGTAATGACCATCTGAAAGTTTCAGCTAGTAAAGTACAGAGCAGATTGCTTACTCGGTGCTCTACATACATAGCACCTAATATCTGTGTTCTACAAACTACATTAACTGCTAATCTGTTTCCAGCTACAATTTGAGATGTTGATTTGAACCCATGAAGCCTTTATTTCACTTTAGGGCCTATTCTTTCTTCTACTGAAATCAATGACAAAAATCCCATATCAGTTCAGCAAAAGGGAATGAAGTCCTTAAAGACTCCACCTTTCCTTACACCTTTCAGAGGCTGAGTTCTAGCTAATCATTCCCATTTTTTAATTCTGTGGTATGGTGGGAATTAGAGACACAGCATCCTCAGTAGTGAGCCTTGAGCTTGTGTTGCCAATGATCTGAAAAAGAACAGGTTTGTTCACTTTCAGGTTACTCTACAAGAATTTGCAGAGAAAAACTTACCTTTGCCATCTGAGCTTGGACTCCACTAGCCTTCAGAGCAGAAACAGCTTTCTGAGCAGCTGCTGGGCTATCAAAATCTACAAAACCGTAACCTGAAATTTAAAACGTATTTTACTTAAAAGCAAAAGCAAACAACCATTTTATAATCAAACAGTGCGAAAGCTACCAATGTGTCTTTTTTAAAATAAAATTTTGTGTGGTGGAAGGGGACAATTTTACAGCCTTGAAAGTTGAAGATCTTCATTTAATCACAAAACAACAGCAGGCGGGAAAGCTGCCCAACACTGTCTTACCAATGTCCTTCAAACATGAGTTGGAAGGTCTATTTCTAGCAATAGGAAGATGGGTCAGTTTTCATGCTCATTCATTTGTGGCTTATGCCAAAGTGTCTGACTATTCTAGTGCATTGTGTGATCTTGATATTTGTCCACTAGGAATTTATCTGAGATCATAGAGGTTACTGAATAGCAATCTCATGTTAACTTACAAAGTCATAACAATGGCCATTTGGGTTGGAAAAAGGTCAGTCTAGCCAAGTATCCAGTCTTCTGACTGTGGCCAATACCAGGGGCCCCAAAGGGAATGAAGAGAATATGTAATCATCAAGTGATCCATTCTCTGTCACCTATTCCCACTTTCTGGCAAACAGAGGCTAGGGACTCCATCCCTGAGCATCCTGATCAATCCTTCATGAACATATCTAGTTTTTTTTTAACCCTTGTAAAAACATTTGGTCATTAAAATCTTCTTCCAGATTTTAACAAGTGACATGTAAGTGAAATCCTACATACCCTATTGCCAATGGTGTGCTATCAAATTCAAATTTCTGATAAATGTATAAGCTGAAGTTATTCCACCATGTGTACACAAGAGAGAGTGGTTTATTTAATTATATATGATACGTGAAATCTTGGACATCAGTGAAGTCAACGGTTACTTTGCACGCACTTCATTGGGACCAAGATTTCACCCATTGTTTCCAAAGTGCTTCCACTGCAGCAACACATAAGATAATATCGATAGCAGATTGTTTATTTTCAAATACGATAAACTGAATAAATAACCATTTTTAATTTTAAACATTTCTTCTAATTATTCTGAGAAGTACAAGGAGTGTAAGGAATAGGTTATTAAGAGGGAATCTACCAATAGACTCCAGTGGAATTGGAGGAAAAACAAATATAGCTTTTTATCAGGAAGTAAGCTTACAGGTTACAGTTTTCTAAGGTAGTGTTACCAAATAATTTCAAAAAAATCCCCGACACTTGATCTCAAATGGAGGGGGTGGGGACCAGCCAGGAGGGGAGCAGAGCTGGCCAGGGAAGACTGCGGGGGAAGGGAGCTGGCTGGCGGGAAGCAGGGCTGGCCAGGAGGGGGGCTGGCTGGGGGAGATTGGGAGAAGGAACCGGCCAGCGGGAAGCAGGGCTGGCTAGGAGGGGGTTGGGGGAGCAGGGTTGGCCAGGAGAGAGGTGTGGGAGGGAACCAGCTGCAGAGAGTGGGGCTGGCTGGGAAGGGGATGGGGGGAGC